GGCTGTGCTTGCTGCTGCAGGAGCGTAAGGACTCCCCCTGTCTTAGTCAGTGCCCCGCCCCAACAAAAGCGATGCTGCTGGCTCTGCTGCGGCTGTGTCGGCTGCTGCGGAGACTGAAAACACCCGAAACCACCAGGCGCCAGGGGGTGCGCCTGGGTACTACTACTACTACTACTACTAGTACGAGTACTAGTACTAGTAGAAGAAGAAGAAATGGTGGGAGTAGTAGTAGTAGTAGTAGTAGTAGTACTAGTACTAGTACTAGTACTAGTACTAGTAGTGGCAGCAGCAGCCGCCGTCGGCTGTGAATGGATATTGGGAATGTACATCACCCCGATGTTGTTGATTAACAACTGACCAAAGCCATTCAAGAAAACGTGGCATGGGGTCTTCGTGTTTATACACCATCCAGGTGGCGCAGAAATTCGGCTGGCAGCAACAGGAGCAGAAGCAACATTGATAGCGTTATCATCGTCACGGTGATGGCAGTACTTGCTAGAGGTAGGGTTTTGATCGTACAAGTACTGGTTTCGTTCAAGACAAACAAGCCACAGTAGTGACAATTCCTCATCCTGTCTTTCTCCTAATGAAATCAGCAGTTGCCTTGAAATCCTGAACCCTAAATAGTGGTTTCCAGTTTCTTTTACATCATCCTGTATTTCCCCTTCATTACCCCTATATGATAACAGCAAGCACAATGAGCATGGTGGACTGGAGTGCTCCATTTCCCTGGCTTCGAAACCTTACGTCCGCAGAATTCGGCCCATCACTCCTTGTCTTTGGGCCCACGAATTCGGCTCTGAGCCGACGATGTACAGGTAGTTGAGTTCCGACAGGGTTAAGGCTTTAGGGTTTGGGGCTTAGGGATGTTTAGGATTTAGGGCCTTAGGTTGAGTTCCGACCGGCTTTTGATCAGGATTGCTCAAGGAACTCTATGTTACATTCCGATTTAGATACTCACTCCTTTGCGGTCCTACTTTTTGGCCGATAGTTGCCCTTGGCTATCGGGTGGCTTGGAAGGCCATTGTGGTAGTTTCCCAAAAGTGGGGGACCCCAATATAGACCCAATGCAGTATAGTCCTTATGATGACTCCCAAAATGGTACCCCTGATTTTGGCAAACCCTAAACCCTAGATGCTATATACGCTTAACCCAAAACCCTCTATGCATAATATATCTCCCTATAGAACCCCTATATTCCCCCTTTTAAATCAGCTGCCCATGGGATCTGCTTGTTTCCCTGTTGAACTCTTCTATGCCATGGAGACAAGGTAGGTGGCCAAAGGACCCCAATATAGACCCTAATGTGCTATAGTCTTTAGAAGACGGACCCCCCAAAAAGGATTATG